CATGCAGGTAACGAGAGTGACAGAGGCCTGCTACAATCACAGAATTATTAATAGTCCATGGGGCTATAATATTATTTTTTTTTTTTTTTTTTTTATAGGATAGGGTGACAAACGAGCACACAGTCCACCTGATGGTAAGTGGTTGCTGCGGCCCATAGACATCTACATCTATCTTCCATTACAAATCAAAATGCAGATGCGTTGTCACCCGTGAGGACTAAGATGGAATGCCTCATTTCCAGTAAAAAGGGTCTCCGGTTCTCTACACTCACCATACGAAACACAGCAGCATCAAGCTACTATTTCACGCTGGTATTCTGTGAGAGCGTGGTCCTTCCCCGGTCGAGCCGACCCATTCGTGCTACAACTATACTACTAATATAATTGCAGCATGGCTCTACCACGTATAAAGGTAATATATATTATATATTATATAGTTATATATTATATATTATATAGTTATAATAGGTTTTCCCCCGAAATCCTCACACCGTCGAGAGGGACGACAAAACGGAGTATGGAATGTAGAAGTAAGGAGTACAGACTGTGTATTAAAAAGTTTCCATAGAAAACCGTTAAATAAAGGTGGCGCCACTATAGCTACGGGCTAAATTTTAAAGAACGTGCCGAAAAATATTAGTGGGATAGACGACTTTTTCGAGGTTATATTTATTAAATAAATTATTTTAGATTTTAGAGCTACCTAGCAGTTTAGTAGCACACTTTAAACCGTCGACAACTGCTAATTTCATTTCATCCCAGTTACTACTAGCTACTCCAGCGCTGTTGTGGAGAGTCTTTGAACTGTTATTTACTGCTAACAGATGGCCACTTTTCAACTATTCTACTATGGGAGTTGGTTCTCCTTACTTCTACTTCTACACTCCATAGACAAAAGGAAGTACTATCTACTGACTTTTATCTGACAGTTTAGTAAAGAGACAAAAGTATCGAGTAACTAAGAAAGTATCTATAATAAAAGTATCGAATACAAAAATACTAGGTATCAACAGGTCTGTTACACTCCGCGCCTTAGGTATGAAAATATACCTACGCTACGCAGCCCCTAAATGGTATTAATTCAGTGAGCAATGTCACGCGTGCGCTCGAGTTGACGTGCGCCTTATGTTAATAAAAAATATTTTTCTCTTATAAGTATTTAGGATTTTGGTATTTATTTTCGAGATTTTATTCAAGTATGGCCTCTCAAATTCAAATTCAAATTCATTTATTTGCCAGAATGTATGTGTACAATAAAGTATGATCTTAAATTATGTATAATGGCCCATTTACATTCTACCACTTTATATGGTGTGCAAATATTTTATAAGTATACATGCAAAAAAAATTAACAACAAGTGGGAATTCAATTAAAATGTCACATTGTTTAATGATTGTTCTTATTTGTTAATGTTCATACTTCCGTTTCGTTTTTAATTAATTGATTATTAGATATATATCAATATTACTGACTTCGGATTTATTTTCCACAAAAAGACATAAATTCATTTAGGTCGTAAAAACATTTTTCTTTTAACCATTGTATCAACTTTTTTTAAACATGGTTAAAAGTAACTCTTTAAAATCGTTGGGTGTTTTGTTATACACCTTTATAGCATTTACGTAAGAGTTCCTTTCATACAATTTGAGCCTGCATTGAGGTAAGTATAATTTATGTTTATTTCTAGGAGCTACATTTCGTTCAGTTACATCTATATGCCTTTCAAAGTGTTCAGGATGTTGTTTTACAAATATGCATATTTCTTTAATGTACAAGCATGTTAATGTTAAGATATTGTACTTTTTAAACAAGGGCTTACAGCTATCCGTATACCCTGCTCCATAGATTGCACGCACACATTTTTTTTTACTCTAAATACTTTTATTATATCTACTGAATTGCCCCACAATAAAAGACCATATGACAGTACTGACGAAACATATCCGTGATATGCACATAGAGCAGCATCAGTTGATACCGTGACTCGTAATCCAGTCGCAATTTTGATCCAACATTATACCCAGACATTATACTCAAAAACTAAATGGTACTGCATAGCATACGGGTGCTTAAATAACAATGGGAATGTCGACTTTTCATTCTTTACTGTTCCTAAGCATACCGAAAGGTAAGATATTATTATTAATAGGTAGATCTAGATAATTAAGTACCTAGCTACTGACGCCATAGTTACAGATTTATTATTTGACTTGTTATAGGTTTATTATTTGCGACCCGACCACAGCTTCGCAGTTTTCTATCTTTTGCCTGTATAATGCCAATGACCTTAAAAAGGTTCAGTATAAGTAGAGCTTCCAGTACTAGTGATTGTCCACTAATGCAAGATCAGCATGTACTATAAATATTTTTAAAACTTGGTCGATAAAAGAAAGGGATTGAAAATAGTAGCACTTCTCATTGCCACTCTCATTAATAATGCCAGCATGTGGGTGATTTCCCTGTACTTCGCGTGTTAAGTTTGTATCATATTCAATAAACAACTTTAAAAGTTTTTTTTTATTATCTATTTGATAATATTAAAACAAGTATTCATAAACACGAGTCTGTGGTTAATATTTCATTCAATCATAAAAGAGACCATGGAGATTAGAGAAGAGGAGAACGATCGCTACGTACTAAAGCATAGCCCGCCTGTCCTTGAAAATTTATAGAATTTATAGAGGCGCTGCCGTCGGTGAGTAGTGGCTGCAAAGTTAGCTGTTTATGAGTACAAGTAAATGAAGTTAGTTGAATAATGTACAAATTTTCTTCGAGGCATTGGTGAGAAACTTTTTATGCTCAGTATTTTTTTAATTTTTGACAAAAAGAAATATTAAAAAATGGAGAAATATTTAATTGTGCATGGATGTGCAAGTGGTTTAGCATCTGATCAGAAAAAATTGACTGAAAATGACTTTTATTGAGCGAACTTAGCGATCGCAGCGCCTCACTTATGGTGTCCATATTTCTGGGACACTATTTTCTACGGCGATCGTTCTCTTGTTCTCTAACCTCCATGAAAGAGACACTTACTAATATGTATGTATTACAAATTTTGCAAAGGTACTGCTATGTTTACCAATCTCCAATGCTACATGTGAAAGAATATTCTCCCAAATAAATTTAATTAAGACAAAAGCAAGAAACAGATTTATAAACAAACATGTATAGTGTCTTCTTACACATTGAACAAGGCAATGGTGAGCATGACGATTGCATTGCATTCAAGCTTATGAAAGATATATGTTAAATCGAATGAATAAACCCATGTCTATACATAAAAATAAGGATATAATGAACTAACTGAAATATTTAATTTTAATTTAATAAAAATATTAGCATTTAAATGCGAATTTTTACTTTTCTTAATTTAATACAATGGCAAATATAGTTGGCAGTATTTTTCACTACAGACTTTGGCAGGGCTTGGCAGGTTTTTAACCAAAGTAAGGCAGGCTCTGTATTTTAAATATGGTCACACTGCTTAACAGTGTGCTCCATAGATTACGTGTGCTACGGTGTGCTCGGGTGTGCTCAGTGGTATATACATACATATACACTAGGGATGACGATTCTTTCCGAAAAAGAACGATTTTTAAATCGATTCGAATCGAGATCTGATGAATCGATTCACAAAAAAATCCAAGTTTAAAAGATCGATTTATCAAAAATCGATCTTTTTCGATTTTCTTTCAGAGTTTATATCCACAATTAGGCATGTCGATTCACTCTTTAAAAAATCGATCTCTGAATCGATTTGAATCGAAGGTACTTGAATCGATTATCGATTAAATCGAGGATTAAAAGATCGATTTTCGATTAATCGCGACATTTTCAAACATGAAATTTCAAGAATTTTCGATTGTTTTTCTTTAACTTTTAAACTGTTTTTTTAATTTTTTTTTAAATATAATATTAGTAATCTTATTGATTAATATTACTAATATTCCTTTTAATCACTCTTGGTTAGCTTGAAACGCATGTGTTAGGAGTGGTTCGCACATACTCCACTCGCTCCCTTTTTTTAAAAAAGTGATTCCACGTAACACTTTTATTTGACATTTTAGGCTAAAAACAACAACAATACTTTAACAGAAGTGCAAACTGCAACGTACATTGCTCGATAAATCTGTTTCAATCTAATAACTCACTATTTATCATATCGAAATGAATGCTACACGAACACAATACTGGTTATTTAAACCTCTATAAACTTCAACGTACGGTATAATATTTATTTACAATATCTAGGTATTTAAAAAATTACTCTGTCTGTACTTACAGCTCACGGTATGTATATTTTTGATAATAAATAATGTAAATTCACAAGTTCACAGTTCAAACAGGTTCACAGCTATAATATTATATTATATTATAGTACAGGAAAAAAGAATATCGCTCGGTCGATCGAAAAAATATTATAGTTGGGATGTAATATATATTATCATCTCATCTCAGTGGAAACGATTCCATTTAAAAGTACGGTGAGCGCTATTAATTTATATCTCGAGATGTAATATAAATTACATTATATCCCTTAGTGAAAAGTGGGCTTAAGAATTTTAGAAATGACAATGAAATGACAACTTTTCGATATGTTGGATGCGTTCATAAACATTTATTTTATTCAAATATATATTGCGTTCAAATTATCAACCAAGTACGACCGGTTGTTTTTCCGTCCCCCAACAGCAAAAAATTAAAAAACTGTGGTATCTTACCCCAACCAGTTTGGAAATTTTAGCTAGTTCTTGTATCAAATGAATCAGTCCGATTCAAGAGGTTTTTGGATCGATTCAGTGAATCGATGCGGTGCTTCGAATCGATCTAAAAAAATCGATATTTTTTTCTCCAAAGAATCGATTTTTCGATTAATCGATTTTAAATCGGCATGCCTAATATACACAGTAATCTATGGCTCAGTCAGTGTACGATATATTACTTTCCTCTATGGCCTCAGTGTTTACATGGTTCTAGGTCGCGTACGTTGTGTGTGGAAATGATATTGTGAGAACTTGAACACGTACATAAATCATTTACAAAATGCGTGTTTTTGTAATTATATCTTTAGTCTTTGCTTTGTGTAGGAGTGAGATTAATGTTAATAATACTAGTTTACATCATGGCCTTACGGAAAGAATTGGCAATTTTTCCATCGAACTTCTTTATCATACTACAACAACACAAAAGCAAGTTAAAAACTTAGTGATGTCTCCATTCACTGTTTGGACATCGTTAGCTGTAATAGCAGAAGGTGCATCAGGAGACACACTGAAACAAATAAGTCACGCAATACGTGTATCACCACGAATGAGAACAAAAACGAGAGAAGATTTTCGAAGAATCGCTCAGTGGCTACAAGTAAACACTTCCACAGTAGATCTTGAGAAGTTTAACGCTATTTTTGTTGATGAACAAAAGCTACCACTTCCAGATTTTATTGATATAGCAAACCAATACGAGACTAAAATGATTAAACTAAACTTCAGTGGTAGTCATACCTCCGAACTAATAAATACAGCAATTAGTAAAGTTACTCATGGAAAAATACCGAATCTAACTGATAGTGGTGATTTTGGTGAAACACAAATGGTTCTAACAAGTGCTCTATATTTTAAGGGTCAATGGACAGTGCCTTTTAATACGTCCTCAACATCAAAACAATCTTTTTATGACAGTAACGGTAAACAAATTGGTGAAGTTAATATGATGTATAATCGTTACAATTATCCTTTTGCTAATATAATGGAACTGAATGCTAGAGTTATAGAGTTGCCATATGGTAAAGAAAACAGGCTATCTATGCTTATTATGTTGCCCCATCAAGGTGTTTCCCTTCAAGATATGTTCATAAACTTTAATAATGTGCCTTTAGATGTAATTTTTGAAAACTTGAAATTGTCTGTTGAAGAATATGGTGATGAGGAAGTTGACTGTTTCATTCCGAGGTTCAAAATAGTGTCTAACATAGATATGACTGATATTTTAAAGAATCAATTTGGTATTAAAGATTTGTTTGACGAATCAAAAGTAAGATTACCCACCATGTCACGTATACCAATGTATGTGACTAAAGTTTCACACAAAGCGTTAATTGAAGTAACTGAAGATGGAACAGTGGCAGCTGCTGTAACTGCATCTGAGTTCGCAAACCGTATTGGTGTTGTAAGGTTTGAAGCAAATAGACCATTCTGTTATTTAATCATTGAAAAAACCACTAACTCTATAGTATTTGGAGGGTTTTATCAACACCCATCACTATTTTAGTAAATAGTATTTGTCATTTTGCTACCTCTTTTAAATAATAGTTTGTGTTACGAAAGAATTTGTTAAGTAAATAATTTCTGTGTTGGGAATATCAGAATGATTAAATATTTCTCCAATATTTTTTTTATTATATATTCAATTTCATATTAAACTAGCACATTCCCCATGGGACTTTGTCCACATGTAATTTATTAAGATTGTATTTCATTAGTTGTAATTTTTTTGCATGAAACCCTAATTATTTTTCTAAAATGAAAGTAGCATAAGTTACTCCTTATAACATCAGCTAATCGCCAGTGAAAGTACCGTCAAAATCTCTCCAGCCATTTCAGAGATTATCCGGAATAGACACAAAAATTTTTGTATATACTTGTAGTACTGTATGTACTTTCATATGCATTTACTTAGTAAAAAGCAGTTACTTTGACATCACAAACAGATACTTTAATTTTATTTACTTTAATAGATTAGTTTATCACTGTTCTATTATTTGTCATGTTAGAGTTTTATATTTTCTTTTAGGTCAAGTGTAACATACTATCTATTGTTAATACTATCCAAGACTATTAATAAATGTCTCTGATACACGATATCAGTAAATATGGAATAATTGTTTACATATAGGAATTGCTGAAACTGTGATAAAATGGAGATGATTTTTTAAATATTTATTTTATAATAAAATAATATTTGCCAACTTTAAAAAAAATTGTTTCTCTTGGTATAAAATCATAAACTAAGTATACTATATAAATTTCTACAACTAATGGCGACTACCCTTGTTACATATTTCATGCCGTTGCTTGACTACCATTCCACCTAGTGGGAATGAACCTCCCAATAGTAAATTGTTTAATGTATTAGCATATTCACTCTTGCCTCTAAGACAATAAGAACTATGAACCTTTAGTAATTTTTAATGATGTAGCAAGTTGTTAAGATAAAGTAAGATACCATTATACATACATAACATACATTGTTTAATGATGTAGCAAGTTGTTAAGATAAAGTAAGATACCATTATACATACATAACATACATAAACACTCACACCTGTCACCCAGAGAGGTAGGCAGACACTACAGACTTCCATTTGGCACGATTCTGACACACCTCTCTCGCCTCCTTCACATCCATACACCTACGCATACATGCGCGTCGGTTAATGGTACTCCTAATTTGGCCCGTTTTCAATAAATCGCCAATTTAGTCGATAATTTTTAAATAAAAAAAAAACTGGGGCCGCATTGCCCCAGTGCGTGTTTGCGGACTTCACATGTCTTCGAAATATATTTTTTTCATTTCTCAGATACGCAGGTTTCCTTACGATGTTTTCACAGTACCATTATGCTAATATTTCACGCTGGGTACCAGTACGAGCGAAGTACATTCTTATTTTCCCAATCAAATACATCATTAGTTCCACCACATATATCATCATCATCATCATATTATCTGCGACTAATATACTATAGGGCGACATTACGTAATACAAATTACTAGAATGATAGTCACCGGTTAACTGACCTTGAAAATATGTTACAATCATGAAAAAAAGAAAATATATTCGATAATTTGGCAATATTTTAATCAATTAATATTGCGTCTTATGAAGTCGTGCTTTTATAGAATAGGGTGACAAATGAGCACACAGTCCACTTGATGGTAAGTTGATGCTGTGGCCCATAGGCGTCTACATTTATCCTCGATTAAGTATCAAAACGCGATGCGTTTTCACCCCTAAGGACTAAGATGGAATGTCTCGTTTCCAGTAAAAAAGTGTCTCCGGATCTCTACACTCACCATAGGAAATACTGCAGCATTAGGGCCGATACTCATTATAATGCCGTTCACAGTTCGATCTCGGTCTGATAAAATATTATGAAGTAAAAAATATGTGTGTGCATTCATACCATCCAGTAACAGTAAAGTTTTGCTCGAATCCCATTCCAATAATATAATAAATCAGACAGAGAACGAACTGTGAACGGCAAATGAGGATCGGTCCTATAGCTGCTATTTTACGCCAGTATTCTGTAAGAGCGTGATTCTTCCCCAGTTGAGCCGACCCATTCATGCTACAACATAATATAGCTGCAGCGTGACTTTACCACGTAATAAGGTTTATTATATACATATAATTAATTATTATATACATATAATTAACTATTACATAGATATCATTTATTAATATAGTGGGTGTCATTAAGAAATGTTAGAGGTAAGCTGATGCAGGAGATGGGCAGCAGCATTTTCCTGATAACAGCTGTATAGAATAGAAACTACGACTACGGCAAATATCATCCCATTAAGGTGAATCGGGGAAGCTTATTTTCAGCAGTTGACTGATGAAATTGTCCATGTCTCTTCATTATTTACCTTAAATGTGTGTCTGTTTATTATATAAATAATGGCAATTTGTAATTATTAATTTGCGGGAACGATTTCCTTTTAATGCCAATGACATTTTCCTCGTACTGTTTACTTACATAATATTGAATCACCATGTGTGTTTACATTTTATAACTTCTCATGTTCTCATTATATTATGCCAGTTGAAAAAACAATGTCGTTATATAGGACATGCTACCTAACAATGCAATGCTAACACAATGCATATTAATTAACAGTTTTAACAATCAATATGAGACAAGAGGAAATATTATTTTGTTTTTTACCGACTTCAAAAAAGAGGAGGTTATCAATTCGACTGTATGTTTTATTTTTTATGTGTGTTACCTCAGAACTTTTCTCTGGGTGAACCGATTTTAATCAAGATCTGACCTGTAGTTTTTGAGTTATCCTTAATAATGCGTATTTGACTGTTGTTCTCATTTTAATTATATTGAAGTCGGTTGCATAAATTTTTTAATTTTACCTCTTGTTATAGATTTTGTTTGAGGTGATGGACTCGTGCGGTACTTATGCCAGTGTCAAGTTATAAGAAATTACCCTTTTTAATAATTTGTTTAAACACCTTAACAATATGTTGATCCGTCACATTGTCACTTTTACGTGGTAGAGTCACCCTGCCGCTATATTGTGGTTGTACCTCGAATGGGTCGGCTTGAACGGAATAGGACCACGCTCTAATAAAATATCAACGTAAAATGTGCTGCTGTGTTTCGTATGGTGAGTATAGAGAACCGGAGACCCTTTTTACTGGAAGCGAGACATCGTAGTCCTCAGTAGTATCAACGCATCTGTATTTTGATTCTTAATCGAGGATAAATGTAGATGTCTATGGGCCACAGCATCCATTTACCATCAGGTGCACTGTGCTCGTTTGTCACCCTAATTCCCTTAAGAAAAATCAGTTCCATCACTTGAATATGGAATTCAAATTGAATTACTTTTACCGCTTTTTAACTTTTTATTATCTTCAAGGTACACTTCTTATAATCAATCGGGGGTTCATTTACTTATTTAGGATTTTCGATATATCTAAATAATGTAAGACTCCGATATTGATATATTTTTAATTATCGATATATCGAAGATCCGATATTTAAAAAATATCAACAGTCTTAGTTTGAACTGATCAGTTGAACTGATCGCGTGTGGTGACTATTAGACGAAAGAAGCATTTAGTTGGTTTCGCTGCCTCGGAATGTGTTCGCGGTTTTAACATATCTCTCGTAATATTTTATTTCTCAGACATGCCGGTTTCCTTATGATGTTTGCCTTCACTGCTGGGGCACGTGGTAAATCAGCATAAAATTGCAATTGACAATTTTATTAGTAACGGTCGGGATCAAATCCGAGTTGTTCGCTCGTTGTGAAATTTACTGCGAGCACTTAGCTTTCCGAGCTACCGTGACTGTCCCATGTTAATGAACTAATGACAGTCCGCCAGTTTTACTAGGTGGTCGGACATCTTTTCTACCGGCCAAATGGTAGTGCTTGCATTCAGTACCGTCTTTACCATAAGGGCACACGGGGCCCGTGCTCAGGGCCCCTATTCACGGGGGGCGTCTTTGACTAAAGGCATCGGCCTTATTCGCTTACACTATATACAATCTTTTTTATTTTAGGAAGATATAAACCGATAAAAAATTATTGAGTAAATGCGGGCGTTGATTGTGATTTTCTGACAACCCTGAGCAGTGACAAGTCACAAACATTGGCACATTGCCGAGTTAGCCAGAAAAAGTAGCATTGACAGATTTCCTAGGTATAAAATATGTAGTTCCGCGTTTTACCGCCATCAAAACGTTTTTGTCGGGCTGTTCAGTCGTCTTACGTATAGCCTGGATTTTTTCATTTTCGACAATCTATGTATTTATAATCTGTGAGATAAAAATATAATTTGGTACTGTTTAATAAAAACAACACTTGAAGAGATTGAACGGCAAATGATTTATTTAATATGGTAATTTTCAACCACAGATATTAGATTTTATAGCAAATAATTGTTACGATCCTTATTTTTAGACAAGTGAAGCCTAAATTTTAACGTAATAAATAAAAAGAATACACGTATTGATGTTATTATAAAATATTTTCTTTTTTTTGAAATAAATTTTAGGCAAGAAACATTAAAGTTTACAATTTCTTAAGAAATTCATTGTAAAGTAGCGCCGCCATGGTGGATGTTATATTATTTTTTATATTGGTCTTTACCAATTAACTATAATAAATATAAGATCATAGCAGAAAATGTTTTAGTCATTCACTTTTTTTTTACTTTCCAACTGGGCCTCAAATTCTAGTGTGTCCAAGGGCCCCGGTATGGTCTAAGATGGCGTTGCTTGCATTGCTGTGTCCGGGTGAAGGATATAGAGAAAAAGTGTGACAAGCTGTGAGGCATTCCATCTTAGTCTTCAGAGGTGACACATCTGTAGCCAGCCTTCTTTGTTTAAAGTTAGCTGAACCACCAATATCAAAATTTTACTTTCAAAGTCTGAAACACATTCCGTCTACGAGCTAGAGAACCGTGAAATACAGACGGATAAACGGATAGGCAGACCGCCAGTAGAGTAACATTAATAGGGTTTCGTACCGTTTGGGTACGGAATTCTGAAAACATGCTAGTTATACCAGTTACTCGACTCCAAAGAGTCAGTAATTCCTTAATGCGACAATGTATAAGCTTTCAGAACAAAGTCCCAGAAAATATGTAGGACTTATCTATCGAAAAAAATTACTACAGAGTAGGTACATCGCTACCATGATGTTTCTAAATTTTTTCATACTTAGTTGTATAAAATTATTTCATCACCATCATCAGCCTGCGGCAGTTCACTTCTGGACATGGGCTTCTCCCAAGGAGCGCCACTTAGCCCAATCTTCGGCTTCACGCAACTCGTTGCTGCCAGTCACATTGCGCAGATCGTCACACCATTTAGCCAGGGGGCGTCCCACTACGTTTAACTAAACGCGGTCTCCACTCTATAATACGCATACTCCAACAGTTATCCCTTCTGCGACGTATATGACCAGTCCATTGCCACTTCTGCTCGCAAAATAATATAATGTCTTTGATTATATAACAGACATATAATCAAATTTTGGAGTTTAAAAAAATCCAGCTGGGTTTCGTAAATACAATATAGATTACAGAAATAACTATCTACCCTACAACTAATACGCTTAAATAATAATAATAATAATAACCCCCCGGGGACCACCTTGACGTGGTGGGAGGGCTTAAGGGGAGGCATGAACCTAACAGCGGTCACTACGAACTTGACCATACCCTGTATTTACCGATACAGGAGGTACATTTTATTAACCACTAACATCTTTGCTAACCCTCCCCAACTAACGGTCCCACACCCAAACCCAAATGGAGAATAATTATGGTATTAACAAGAAGTAAACGGCCCCAAGTGCTCGGCGGACCCAGTAGCAGCACTGCTTATGACGGAAGCCAGCCTGAGACTGGGCCTAGGGGTGCGAAGAATCCCCTTAGCGACGAAAGCAACCCGTCGAACGACCCAAGCGATACATATAGACTCCGACATGCTAAGCGTATAATCTCATCGACACCCTTACCTTTTCATTAATTTGAGTCATCTATTTCATCTCCACGTTCATACCAACCTTCAACGAGATCAGACTCTGTATCACCCATGTCTGAGGACGTTGTGCAGGAGGCTGTCGCCACTGAATCTGCACCCGCCCCAGACAGAAGCAAAAAATCTGGCGCACGTACCTTATAGCCACTAAATTAAATACTAGCAAAATATACCTCGATCATCTACATAAAGAATTCTCTAATAAATATCCGCAGATGCAGGCATCAAGACAAAGATTGGGAGATCAATGCAGAGCTATATTAAGAAATAAATTACTTCTTCAAAAAATATTAGATCATATAAGGAACGAAGTTGCAGTATACTTACAACAAACACACAGTAATACCAATCATATACAAACCGACTCGATCACGCAGTCACACACGCAACCACATTTTAGCAATCAGCAAGGCTTGACACAAAGAAGACGATGGACAGCTGACCAAAACGAATCTATTGTGAGAAATTACTATAAAATCACCAAACTTGGAGAAAATAAACCAGCTTACCGTAGACCCCTCCATCAAGCAGTCATAGAAGAACACCCTGAGTTAACAGGTGTAAGTGAACAACGAATATCAGATCAGCTCAGAGTAATATTGAACAATAAAATGATTAATGAGCAAAGACTTCAAAAGATACGTGACAATATATCAAGCAACCTGAATTCCCGACGAGACAATATGGAAAATAATTCATCACTTATCACATCACAACACACAATCCCTACACCCGAAACAGAAAACTCACAAGAAGCCGACGTTCATCCATTCATTATAGGAAGTTACGCTCCCGTGCATACACTTAGCTTAACCTTACAACCTCAACCTGACGAATCAGTGATATCCACTAAAGCCTCTGAACCTCAAAAAAAAAAACCAAGCAATAGAAAATAACGACGCGAAAAAAATTCACGAACTGTTTACAATAGCAATACGAGAGACAAATTTTGGAATACCAACCCAACTAAACGACCTTATATACCAAAACAAAAATCTAAAGGTGCACAAATTGTAGATTTTATAAACAAAATCACATATCGAGAGACCACTCCGACCATAATTTACTGCGTGGCATATACAGTAGCTATAATTAACGGAACCAAAATCATAGACACAAACACAATACCTACCCAAAGTCGAAATAAAGAACCTGCCTGGCAGAAAAGGTTGCAAAAAAAGATATTGCATTTCAGAAGAGACATTGGAAGGCTAACAGAATATACCAAAGGCAATAGAAGCAATAGACTCTCCAATTCAGTGGAAGCTATAAAAAATAAATACCGAATACATTCCCAGCACGAAGAACCCAATTTAAGCGATGAACAATTCCCTGACACACTTAAACGAAAACTGAATGCGGCATCTAGCAGATTAAAAAGATACCTTAATTGCACACTTAGGAAGTCACAAAATAGCCAGGTTATCAATAATGAAAAACAATTTTATAGGAGCTTGACTTCAGACACGCAACACGACACACATGGAAATAGGCAAGATGCACTATTACCACCTATACATAGCTTCTGGTCTGGTATTTGGTCTATACCGGTTCACCACAACACTGAGGCAGAATGGCTGAAATCAGATTCCGATGTAACTGATTCTATCACACCAATGGCATTTGAACAAATACCTCTGGAAGTATTTGTGCATATATTAAAAAAACCCATAACTGGAAAGCACCCGGAAGTGACTGTATAAATAACTACTGGTATAAGAAACTTTCAACAATTCACCCTCTACTTCATAACCATATCAATGACTTTATACAAAAGTCAGACATAATGCCCCGATAAATTACACAAGGCCTCACATACATGATTCCGAAAGACGCAGATCATCAAAATCCTGCCAAATGCAGACCTATCACATGTCTCCAAACTATTTATAAACTACTTACAGCATGTATAGCCGAACTCTTACATCAACATATAGCCACAAACAACATCCTTACTGAAGAACAAAAAGGATGTCGAAAAAGTAGTCAGGTGTGTAAAGAGCAACTCATAATAGACTCCGTAGCTATGAATCATGCTATTTCTAAAAGGAAGAACATCAATACAATGTACATTGACTACCGAAAAGCATTCGACTCCGTACCGCACAGCTGGCTCCTACATGTACTTCAACACTATAAATTTCACCCACAACTTATACATTTTCTTGAAAAATCAATGCAGCACTGGACAACTACATTAAAAACCATAGGAACTTCTTGTATAGAAACATCAGAAATTCCAATACGTCGAGGAATCTTCCAAGGGGATGCGCTTAGCCCTGTATGGTTCTGTCTCGTATTAAACCCTCTTTCGCAAATGCTGAACAAAACCAATTATGGTTACCACACAAACACGCCACTCTAACACACCTGATGTACATGGATGACATAAAACTATACAGTAACACTCACAGCATTCAAACACAGTCATTGCATCGCCTCGCAGACATCACCCAATCTTTCTCAAACGACATTCATATGAAGTTTGGGATTGACAAGTGCAAAGCTTTCTCGGTTAAAAATGGAAAAAATTAACCCCAACAGTTATAGCCTAGTAACAGGAGACACGACTGAACCTCTAGAACCCCACGCCTCATATAAATACTTAGGTTTCCAACAAGCGCGACAGATCCATCAAAAGGAAACGAAAGAAGGTCTCAAAAAGAAATTTAAACATCGGCTCAATAGTATATTCCGTTCTCAACTCAACTCCCGCAACATGTCAAAAGCAATCAATAGTTAAGCAATCCCCATACTGACATTCTCGTTTGGTATAATAAACTGGACTCAAGGTGACCTTATCAATCTGCAATGTATTATAAATACCACTCTAATGACTCACCGCAAGCACCACCCTAGATCCTGCGTGCAAAGGATAACTCTTCCAAGATCCGAGGGAGGACGAGGTATAATAGATGTCCTCAACTTGCACAATAAACAAATCAAATCCCTTCGACAATATTTCCATCAACGCTCCAGAACACTCGCTTCTCCACGAAATAGTAACCTTAGCCGACAAACGCCTCACACCACTTAACCTCGCGGACCGCAACACACAACGCAGTGAACGGATCACTGACGTAAAAGAGAAGATGGCCTCATGGCAACAGAAGTCCCTACACGGAAGGCACTACCACGACCTGCAGCTGTCACATGTCGACAAAAAAGCGTCGAACGCCTGGCTGAGGCGCGGTGAACTCTTCCCAGAGACGGAGGCATTCATGCTAGCGATCCAGGACCAGGTCATCGATACCCGAAACTTCCAGAGACACATAATACGTGCACCTAACCTCCCCACTGACAGTAGAGCCCTTGCACAAACCGACTATAAGCATCGGCATGACCAGGTCGCCTCCATAATACACCAATACCTTGCCCTTAAATTTAAATTCATACAAAAAATTACACCATATTACAAATGTAAGTCGGACATCATATTAGAAAACAATAATCATAGAATCTACTGGGACAGGACCATTATCACGGATAAAACTATTCACTTCAATAGGCCCGATATCACAGTGTATGACAAAAATAACAAAACTACTTACCTTATTGACATTGCCATACCAAACACCCATAACATTCAATCCACCATAGCTGAAAAACTTACAAAATATCAAGATTTAGCTATAGAACTCAAGCGTCAATGGAGAGCAGAAACCATCCATATAGTCCCAATAGTTATCTCATCTACCGGAGTCATACCTAAAAGCCTACAACGCAGTCTAGATATTTTGCAAGTACCCCAACACACACTTCACACCCTGCAGAAAGCTGCCATTCTCAACACCTTCCGACTCATACGCAAATTCCTCACCACGTCATCCGTCACCTCTGCTTACACCATCACCAAGTACCTGCTCACGCTTGGCTTCGGCCCGTGTGATTAGGTTTTAAGTTACCTCTTTAATAGGGAGAATATAGATATATACAAAATAATAATAATAAAAATAATAACGGTGTGAGCGCCGTGCCTCGGCAGTACTCAGGGTGCAAAGGCCCGTTTGTGTTTACGGCCATACAATGATACAATGAAACGGTGCCGGGCCTGGGCGTCTCCCGTTAATTGGCGCCCAAAAATGGATGATGGATTGTAATAGCAAGCGTATAGGGCCGCTGCCTGGGGGGGGGGTCGCGCGGGCAGCATGCGGCCCGCCAGCCGAGCGCGAGGAGCTGCAAGATCACCTAGCAGCCTCCCGCATCCATCATCCCCACCAAACGGCTTGATGTCGGCAGGGTCCTCTCGGACTCGGCAAGCGGCATCCGCCGCTGGTGGAGTGCGCCGCATGCGTTGGACAAGGGATATGAACGCAAACGCATTTACAACTCTTTTCCTGCTCTACGTTAACGATGTCTGCAACATAGAATTAGAAGGAGCTGATTTATTAATGTACGCAGATGACACTGTCCTGATATTTCATCATCAGACTTGGGACGGTGTGCAAAAACTTACAGAGAGAGTACTGTGTGAAGTTTCGAAGGCTCTGGAAAATAGTTTGCTATCGAAACATAGAAAAGACGAAATATCTTTGTTTCAGGATAACAGAGGCTACTAAACCCTCCAGCAGCTTTAAAGTCAAGATGCACACTTTCCCATGCAATACAATACCCTTACTTCATGGCAGACAATGTGGTTGTAAAGAACTAGAAATGGTTAAACACGTGCGATATCTAGGAGTGACAATTGACGAGAAGCTAACTTGGAACAGTCAAATTTCAAATGTCACGAGTAGAGTAAGAAAGCTCATTTATATTTTTAAGAACCTAAGAGAAATTGCAGATAGCGACCTCCTCCTATATGTGTACAAGGTATTGTATTGCAGTGTGGGGAGGTGCAACGAAAACTCATATGCTGGGACTGGAAAGGGCCCAAAGAGCCATTCCAAAAGTGCTATGTCTTCTCTCTTTCAAATATCCCTCACACGCTTTGTATCAACACTGTAGGGTTCTCACTGTGAGACAATTAAAAAAAAAAAATCTCAGGTACCATAGGGAAGTTGTGCCGTCTTTGCCACCGTCTCAGCGAAGGAGAGAGACATGTCCCATGGTACGGACTCGTACGGAGTTTGCCAAGCGCCAATATTACGCGTTGACTTCACGGGTGTATAACAAATTAAGTAATTTTCAACATTTACGAAAATTTAATACCTATAAATTAAAGAAATATGTGTAGGACTTTATGTATAAATTAAATTACAAAGATGCAGAACACATGATGGAAAGTATAAAGTGAAACGCACTGAGTATACCTTTGGCATACTCAGGTGGACTCGACTGAAATTAAACCCCTGGATAGAAAAGTCCGCACTACCATGACGTCCCATAGGATGCATCATCCGAGATCGTCGGTAATGAGGCTGTACTTGCCGCGAAATATGGTGGGCGTGGCTTCATGAGCGCGCTCACCATGGATAATCGCGAAGTGAGCAGCCTCCGTAATTACTTCCTGGCGAGATCGGATGATCCATTCTATAAGTACGTCATTTCTTGTGATAAAGGACTTACCCATCTATCCTTAGCCAACGAGCAATGGCAAGACCCGGCAGTGCAGAGCATTTCCGACCGGGAGACCGTATGGAAGGAGAAGGAGCTCCACGGGAGGTTCTACAAGGCTCTACATGAGCCTTTCGTAGACACAGTAGCCTCCCTCCACTGGCTACGCTTTGGTGACCTCTTCGGGGAAACCTAGGGTTTTGTCTGTGCAATACAGGATCAAGTTATTAAGACCAACAACTATCGGAGATACACCGTCGACATCTGTCGAGCTTGTCGCCATCCCGATGAGTCTCTCTGTACTCTGAGTACTTGCACAAACACAACATAGTAGCCAGAATCCTTCACCAGGAGCTTGCTCTGAAATAGGGTCTCGTGGATCGGAAATTGCCGTATTACA